GCATCAATATGTCATGTTCACTTAGTGTGACATTTCCATTTTCTCAATGTCACCATTGAAGGATGTGATTCGAACAAGAATATTTATGAATGGATATTAGTCTGTTAAAGGGATTCCAATTGTTCGGTTGCTACTAACAAATATTTTATTGACTCTATATTTCAAGTCATTAGGTTGTATAAATGGTAAAATTGTTGATTAGATGAAAATTAAATTGAAAGAGTACTAGTGGTACATGTCACTTACTTGGAAATTCGCTTTTCTCGTGGCGTAATATAGACAAGCAAGTGTAGCACTATCAACAATTGAGGTAGAATATGTTGTTGTGGATAGTTGTTGTGCGTAAACTATCTGCATGAAATGCGATTTAAGTGATTGTAGAGTTAATTTTGGTGATATCTCGATAAAAGACAAAAACACTAGCGCCATAAACCTCGCGGATAATCTTGTACTTCACTCTCAGACGAAGCACATTGAGGTTAGGTACCATTTCATTAGGGGTCACGTTGAAAAAAGGTATTTTGTAATTGAGCATGTGTCTTCATATAATCAACTCTTGTTGGTTAGATGAAAATTAAATTGAAAGATTACTAGTAGTACATGTCACTTACTTGAAAATTCGCTTGTCTCATGGCATAATAAGAAACAAGCAAGTGTAGCGCTATTAACAAATGAGGCAGATTACGTTGTTGCGGATAGTTATTGTGCGTAAATTATCTAGATGAAACACCAGTTAAGTGATTGTGGAGTTATACAAAAACATTAGTGCCATAAACCTCACAAAGAATCTTGTACTTCACTCTCGGATGAAGCACAATGAGGTTAGGCACCATTTTATTAGAGGTCATGTTAAAAAAAAGGATTTTGTAATTGAGCATGTGTCCATATAATCAACTCGCAAATATTTTTGGCAAACCACTTCTTAAAGAAAATTTCTTTTTTATAAGAACTGAGTTAAGGATATTGAACCAATCATGCACAGATTAATACCTACCTAATATCTTATATCTTTCTTCTTATTCCCTTTATCTATGTGAATTACATGATATATGTGCTCGCTTGTGTTTATCTTTTCACCTTTTTAATAATACCAAAGGAGAAGAAGTATACTTTCAAGGGGAGTATGATATACTCTATATATTTGTAAGGGGAGTTTATTTGCTCTAATCTATCACCCTTATCTTCTTTGTTTGTCCACCTCTCTGAGAGATATATTTTCATTATCAAAAAAGGGGAGAATATGGATATATGTGCTCGCATGTAGTGTGATTGATCATTTGAATGATCAAAATGATTTTTATGATGACTAAACTATTTAGTGGAATCATGATGATTGATCATTTTCTTGATCATGTTAATCTTTGATGATATCTTTTCGGTTGTCTCTGATGATGATGTTCATCTTAAAGTTATCAAGTCTCATTATGGAAAAGATTCAAGATTTCAGTGAAGTGTTAAAGTCAGAGAAAATGTAGCAGGGATCTCGAAGCCTCGAAGTTATGAAAGAGAGGAAATATGAACGTTGGCATGGTCAGTTGTGCGCTTAACACAATGCATGAGTGGCCAATGTATTCTAAAAGTGGTACAGTAACTCATAAGTTACTAAGACAACTCTCACACACTCATGAAATATTTTTGAGCACCCTCTGTTTTTATTAAAATCACCATAAAATGTTTTCTCATATAGCTAGTTAGTTACAAGCCTAAATAATCCCCTATGAGTGAAAATTGAACTGAATAGTCAATTATCCATTAGGTTTAGTCGATTATCTCATTTGTAATGCTTCATAATCAATTATTAGGGTTGATAGTTTATTAGTAATGACACAATTTGAAAACTTTCCAATTTTACCCTGCATAATCGATTATACTTATGGCATAATCGATTATGAGCATTAAAAAGCCCATGGATCATTTTTCTTTTTGAGCTATATTTTCTGCTATATAAGGAGGATGTCTCCTCACTATTCAAGATACTCGAATTTGATTTTAAATCATTCTTCTCTCATTTTAACCCCCTCCCCCCTCTCTCTCTCTCTCTCTCTCTCTCTCTCTCTCTCTCTCTCTCTCTCTCTCTCTCTCTCTCTCTCTCTCTCTCTCTCTCTCTCTCTCTCTCTCTCTCTCTCTCTCTCTCTCTCTCTCTCTCTCTCTCTCTCTCTCTCTTATTTCTCATTTCACTAAAAGTTGTCTAAGTGTATTTATAAGAGAAATACATTTGTGAGGTTCTAGTTGTACTAGTGTTGAACTATTTTATCAATATTGTGATTCTCTTAAAGTTTATCTTGTCTGATTGTTGATGTTATTCTGATAAAACCTCTATTTGGTTTTTGATATCATCCGTCAAAATTTCATTCTTGGTTCACGAGTGTAACTTGTGAAAAGTTCCATTTTGATTTGAGAGATTAGCCTGTTAGAATCTCTTAGTCGATTATAATAAGGTTCTTTGGAATAACCTTGTAAAGTCTCAAAAGATATTAGTGGAACTCTCAAGAAGTTTTCTTGGGGAGAGGAGAAAGATAAGAGATCGTTCGAACCTCTATATATCCTAGTGTAATCTCTTTAACTTTTTCTCTTTACTCTCAGCCATTTACTTTCCTTTTCTTTTCTATTTTTCCATTTTCTGTTGTTTTTTCTCTCTGCTATTTTAATAATACTAACAAAAGTTATTGTTTTAAGAAATAATTTTTAATCTAATCACGGTTTTTAAATACCACAATTCACCCATTTTTCGTGCTTGGAGTCACTTGTTCAATATATATATAAAGGCCAATTATAGATGTTGATTTCATATTCGTCCAATTCAATGGTAATGCAAATTATAGTGTGAATGTTAGGATAAATCTCTCAAATTCTATGAAAGACATACTTATTAGATGTCTCAAAGCCAACATTAACCTATTTGTGTGTTCCTATTCATAAATATTGGGCATCGACCCCAACGTGGTTAGCTGTCACTTGGAAAAAGACTATATTTACAAAATATGTCGTCCATAGAAGATGATGTCATTCATATGAGAATGATGAAGCCACCAAGAACATTGTGGATAAACCAAAGTGGACATCCCACATAGTATTAGTCAAGAAGGCCAATGCCAAATGGCGTATATGCATTGACTATATCAACCTCGTTACACCATTATCCTTCATGGATGCATATTCAAGGTACAACCTACCAAAGGAAAATGAACAAAATCTTTGAGCAAGAGATTGGCGACATGTTCAAGGTATACATAGATAGCATAATAGTTAAATCTGATGAGGAAAATTATATGAAGCCCACCTTACCATCATATTTAATAGTGTACGACAATTCAATATATGTTTGAAACTTGGATAAGTTCATGTTTGAAGTCAACGATGAAACATTCTTGGATTCTACCTCACTGAAAGGGGGATCTAAGTGAACCTAGACAAATATGATGGCACCATCAAGATGGAGCCTCTGTCCATGAAATAAAAAATAATGTACTTGAACGATATGCTTACCGCTCTCAACAGGTTCATCTCTAGGTCCTCCCACACGTTCTTTCGTTTTAGAGGCTTATAAGTAGGAGTGACAAATGTGATGTCATCATCAAAATGGAGCTTCTATCCATAAAAGAAAGAATCATGAAGTTGAACGTTATACTTACCTCTCTCAACAAGTTCATCTATATATCCTTCCAACACGCTCTTCTGTTCTAGAGGTTCCTAAGTATGGATACAATCATGCCTTCCACATTTAGGCTCGCCAAGCTAAAGCGAGCCTAAAGCTTTGACCCGTCCTACAAAAAAAATAAGTGTGTGTGCGGGGCAGACCCACTGACACTGCATATTTAAAGTCAAAAAATTATAAAATTTATGTTAATGTCTGCGTCTGTAAAATCTCGCTAAAAATGGTCAAGGAGGGCTAACATATTAGAGAGTACAAGGTTAAAACTTTGGCCCATCGGCATACCATACCTATTTTACCATCCCTACTCCTACGGAAGAAAGTATAATTTGACTGGACATTAGAATGTGATCAAGCCTTCACACGTATGAAGTACATTATTTTCAACCCCTGGTTCTTCTGATACCCATGACCATGGAGACCCTATTCATATACACGGTGGTCTCAATATAAGAAGACAATGTCGTCCTTGTGAAAGAGGTATGCATCAATCAGAGCTCAAACTATTTCATCTCCCATACATTAACAGGTTATAAAACCCTCTACTAAAAGATTGAGAAGATCATCTTTGTTTTGTTGCTAGCTTCAAGAAAATTACGAGGTTATTTCCTAGCCCATTCAATAATTATCAGTGTTGGCCAATGCTAAAACAAGTATTATTCATACCTTGGTAGGGCGTATATAGAAGTGGACCATCAATATATAATAGATTGACATCTCCTCAAGCCAAAAAATCCTTTAAAGCTTAAGTTTTCACTAATTTTATCACATAGTTGACTCCAAACCACAACTTAACCATGTAAAGTGAATAATATTCATAGATGGGTCATTAAATGAAAATTACTCTTCATTCATATGTTCACTTAAGTGTCAAAGTGTTAATTTTTTTTGCAAGTACCCTCTTTAATCATAGAAGAACTATCACCACCGCATCAAAAGTCTTTTTTTCACGATATCATCATCAACTCTTTGTCAAAATATTATTGATCGACATGTTCCATTAAACTAACTAAATTGATAGTTGTGCAGAGACATTAATTCATTTTTAAAAGACGAATTTCAACCATTAGACTATTTAAAAAAGAATATTATTAATCGGTCTAATTCTATCAAATTTTTTAATATGTTGATTAGCATACTTCCTCAAAAATAATAACCTAATTAGAAATAGTTGTAATTTACCCTAAAATGAAATATCGTTGACATTAGAAATATCTAATATGTAATTAGCACTAAAATTGGTGCCACCATTCATCCACGCAGGTTTCCCTTAAACCCTCGTTCTTCTTCACTCGCGCGGCTTCATTTCTCAACAACACCGCAATTTCATATCAACAAACAATCAAACATGTCATGTGCAGATAAATTCCCTGTAAGTTCATCTTCTCTTTCTTCTTCTTCTTCAAAATTTGTTACCAACACCAAAACAAAACCTCTTTCGAGTCACTTTCCACCGCTTAATCCAAGATGGGTGTGTCCCCCTATTACTTGTTTCCGTTCAAAGACTCCACCTTTACAAACAAAAGTTGCGTCCTTTACAAACCATAAGAAGAAAAGCAAAAGTTATGATAATGTTTCAACTTCAATTTTGAAGAGTTTGGAATTGTCTAATGATGTTGAAGATACCCTTGATTCCTTTGATGGGAATATTAGTCCACGGGAAATCACTGTTATTCTTCAAAAACAGAGAAATTGGGAAAGTGTTGTTAGGGTATTTAAGTGGTTCAAATCTCAGCAAGGGTATGTTCATAATGTAATTCATTATAATGTTGTGCTTAGGATTCTTGGTAGAGCTCAACAATGGGACCAATTGAGGCTTTGTTGGATAGAGATGGCGAACAACCATGTTTTGCCTCAGAATAATACTTACAGCATACTTGTTGATTGTTATGGCAAAGCTGGTCTTGCCAAAGAGGCTCTTTTGTGGATTAAGCATATGAGAATGAGAGGCTTTTTTCCTGACGAGGTTACCATGAGTACTGTTATTAAGGTTTTGAAGGATGTTCGTGAGTTCGATAGGGCTGATAGGTTTTACAAGAATTGGCGTGGTGGGAAGGTTGACTTGGATGATCTTGATTTTGATCCTTTGACTTTGAATACTAATGGTTCGAGATCGTCCGTGCCTCTTAGTTTCAAGCAGTTTATTTCAACTGAGCTTTTTAAGACAGGTGGGGGAATTCGGGATTCTGATGCTAAGTCGTCGTTGGATATGGAGAGTGCTCCCCCAAAACCGAGGTTATCTACCACTTACAATACCCTTATAGATATGTATGGCAAGGCCGGACGGCTAAAAGACGCTGCTGATGTCTTTGCTGATATGATGAAATCTGGAGTGGCATTGGATACTTGCACTTTTAATACTATGGTATTTATTACTGGAAGTCGTGGTAATTTGGTTGAAGCCGAATCGTTGCTTGTTAAAATGGAAGAGAAGGCTGTATCCCCTAATACGAGAACTTACAACGTTTTGTTGTCTTTGTATGCTGGTGCGGGGAATGTGGATGCTGCTCTTTCTTATTATAGAAGGATTCGAGAGGCTGGGCTCTTCCCGGATGCGGTAACTTACAGAGCTCTTCTTGGTGTGATATGCGCAGAGAATATGGTTCAGGCTGTGGAAAGCGTGATTGATGATATGGAGAAATCTTCTGTATCTGTTGAGCATTCTCTTCCTGCTATCGTCAAGATGTATATTAGGGAAGGAGATCTTGATAAAGCAAATGACTTGCTTCAGAAGTTTCAAATGACTAGGGAACCATCTTCGGTTATATGTGCTGCAATTATTGATGCTTTTGGCGAGAGCGGGTTTTTGGCTGAAGCGGAGACTATGTTTTATAGGCCAAGGCACATGGCACGACAAGCGAGGGATATATTAGAGTTTAATGTCATGATCAAAGCGTACGGCAAAGCAAAACTTTATGACAAGGCTGTTTTTCTCTTCGAAGAAATGAAAAATCAAGGAATTTGCTCTACTGATGCTACATACAATTCTCTTATTCAAATGTTATCTGGTGCTGATTTAGTGGACCAGGCAAGGGACCTTATAATTGAAATGCAGGAAATGGGGTTTAAGCCAGGTTGTCAAACTTTCTCTGCTGTTATTGGAAGCTATACCCGTCTTGGTCAGCTTTCCGATGCAGTCGATGTGTACGAGGAAATGTTAAAAACTAGTGTAAAACCAAATGTGGTTGTGTATGGTTCTCTAATAAACGGATTTGCAGAACATGGCAGTCTTGATGAGGCGCTTCATTACTTCGACTTGATGAAAGAATCAGGATTTTCAGCAAATTTAATTGTGTTATCAGCCCTACTAAAGTCCTATGGTAAGGCTGGTGACTTGGAAGGAGTAAAGTCCATCTACGAGCAGATGCAGAACATGGAAGGTGGTCTAGATATTGTTGCATGTAATAGTATGATTACTACCTTTGCCACACTCGGTGTGGTATCCGAAGCCAGGCATATTTTTGAAAATTTGAAAAAGGCGGGTCGGGCTAATAGTGTTTCATATGAAATAATGATGTATCTTTATAAAGACATTGGCCTGTTTGAGGAGGCAATCAAGATAGCAGAAGAGATGAAAATGTCAGGCTTACTGAGAGAGTGTTATTCATATAACAAGGTAATGACCTGTTATTCCGTTAATAGGCAATTTCATGAGTGTGGCAAATTACTATGCGAGATGGTATCGAAGAAGGTTTTGCCAAATGCTGAAACATTGTTTGTGTTATTCTCTATACTAAAGAAGGGGTTGTTTCCTATTGAAGCAGTGGAACAGTTAGAGTCATGTTTCGAGGAGGGGAAACCTTTCGCTTTACAAGCAACCTACGCTTCTTTGTACTCTTTACTTGGGATGCATGCTTTGGCACTTGAATTTCTTCAAACATTTATAGAGTCTGAGCTTGAATCTGCTGCTGCCTATAATGTGGCAATCTATGTATATGCTTCAGCTGGAGATGTTGTGAAGGCGTTGAATATACACATGAAAATGCGGGATAAGCACGTGGAACCAGACATTGTCACTCAGATTTTTCTGGTAGGTTGTTATGGAAAAGCTCGCATGGTTGAAGGTGTGAAAAAGATACATAGCCTGTTAGAATATGGAGAGGTTGAACGGAGTGAGTCGTTGTTCAAGGCTATTAAATATGCCTATAAACTCTGCAATAGGCGTGTTGATATGGGATTCACGCTCGACTCGGAAGAATATTCTGAAGCTGAAAGTGAATATTCTGAAGCTGAAAGTGAATATTCTGAATATGATAATGGAAGTGAAACTGAATATGACTCTAATTCTGATTGAGATTCTTCAGGTTTGTAAAATCCGGAGTTCGGGTTTCTTCATACATATAAACTGTATATATTGTAGTAGTCTAAAGGGCTTGATTTGTTAAAAATATAAGGAATTTGAAGTTAAAAAGTTTTTCTAAAAATTTGTTACTAAAAAATGGGAATAACTTATTGTTCTCATGCACAACTGAAGTATAGACTCAATAGTCAAAAGCATCTTGTATTTTCTCCCTTTCCAGTGTAAGGTATTGACTGTTTTCTTTCACGGCGATGGATTGCGAGATGTTCTTACTTCCGAGTAGCAAATGACCAATCTAAACCAGGGTTATCTGTTATTGAGTATAAGTGTATAATAACTTGATTAATAACAAAAAATATTTCATTATCACAATCAAATTACTTGCCCTTGCCATTGTTTGCTTTTGTTAAAATTAATGTGTTGTAACCATCACTATCTTTAGGAAGTATTATGAGAGAATTGTAACCATCATATTATAATGATTGTCTTTATTTAGATTTATGGTAGAGTTGTATCATTAAAATTGAGAGAACCAAAGAGTCATCATCTTGATAGCAACCTATTTGTATTCTCTATCAGTTTCATTCAAGCCTATATAAAGGTTTTATAATGCTAAGATTAAAAGGAAGAAGTGTTTGGTGAATTAAAAAAAAAAAGGCAGAGTTTTTCAATGGTCATCCACCAGTAGAAGTATAGTACAAAAAGTGACGAAAAGTAGTTTTCTCTGCAGAATCCTGCAACACTATAATTTTTCACATACCACCTCTAGAATACCGCCAAGAGTGGTATCAGAGCTGCAGATCCTTGCAGCTGCAGCAAAAATAACAACAATTATGGCTTCCACAAACAACCTTCCGTAACTTACAGCAATGTCAAAGTTCCTCTATTTGAAGGAGATAACTATGATTTTTGGACTGTTAAAATGGAGACTCTATTCACATCTTTGGATGTTCTAGAGTATGTCAAAAACGGCTATGAAGAACTGACGGTGACAGAGGCTGAAAAATCAAAAGAAAAGACTGAAGAATTAAGCCAACGGCTTGAAGAATTGAAGAAGAAGAAGATCACAAATGCTGGAGTTCTCGGGATGATTCAAAGAGGGGTCTCTCTATCCATCTTCCCAAGGATTATGAGAGCTAAAACATCGAAAGAAGCCTGGAGTATCCTACAACAAGAGTTCGAAGGAGACTCAAAGGTGCGAACGATGAAGCTTCAATCTCTTAAGAGAGATTATGAAAATGAAAGGATGAAGGAGAACGAGAGCCTGAACGAATACTTCAACAGACTCTTCGAGTTGGTGAATTAGATGAAGTCACATTGTGATACGATAGAAGATCGCAGAATTGTTGATAAAATTCTGATCAGTTTGACAACAAGATTTGACCCAATGGTGGGGGTAATAGAAGAAACCAAGGATCTATCAACCTTGACTGTTCAAGGGTTGATGGGGTCTTTGAGATCCTACGAGCAAAGGATGTTACGACATTCTGAAAAATCAATCGAGAGTTCCTTTCAATCTAAACTCAACATTCAGCCCAACAATGGTGAAAATAAGCCCCAAATATAAACTAGAGGTGAGTCTTCTAGAGGTGGCAGATTTGAAAGAGGCAGAGGCAGAGGTCGAAACTCGCGTGGCAGATCTGGAAGAAGCGCAAATGGCAGAAGATGGAATGGAGCATCAAACAAACGGTGCAAAATTTGTAACAGCGCTACTCATGACGAGAAGGATTGTTGGAACAAAGGTAAACCACAATGCCACAATTGCAAGAGATTCGGGCACCTTCAAAAGGATTGTCGTCTTGCAAATCAACAACATGCTTCGTACGTAGAAGGAAATTTATTTTTTGCTTGTCAAAAAGCATTGCATGAAGAAGGTAAAAATGTATGGTATTTGGACAGCGGCTGTAGCAACCATATGACCGGACAGAAGGAAGCATTTATAAACATTTATTCTTCATTTGGCTCAAAAGTTAAATTGGGCAATGGAGAACATGTCGTAGTGAAAGGGAAAGGAAGCATTGGAGTCACCACAAAGCAAGGAAGCAAAGTCATACATGACACACTCTATGTACCGGAATTAGACGAAAATTTGCTTAGCATTAGACAACTTCTGAAGCACGGCTATTCTCTAAACTTTGAGAATAACGAGTGCAGAATTTTTGACTCAGAAAGAAGAAGTGTTGCCGTTGTGAAGATGACTAGCAACAGGAGCTTTCCACTATCTTTTAACTATGAGAAAAATGTAAGCATGATGGCCAGAGAAGAGAATGACTCGTGTTTATGGCACAAGAGACTTAGGCATTTGAATTACGAAAGCCTCAAGTTACTCTATCAAAAGAAGATGGTGTATGGGCTGCCAAGAATCGAAGAAAAATCTGGTGTGTGCGAAGGTTGTGTGCTTGGCAAACACCACCGGCAACCATTTCCAAAGGAAGGTGCATGGAAAGCTAAACAAGTGTTGGAACTTGTACACACAGATGTGTGTGGCCCTATGAATACTTTGTCTCATGGCAAAAATAGGTACTTTATCTTGTTTATTGACGACTTTACCCGCATGACTTGGGTATATTTCATGAGACAAAAATCTGAAGCGTTTGTAATCTTTAAGAAATTTAAAGCATTAATCGAAAAACAAAGTGGCAGATTTATAAAGATGCTGAGAAGTGATCGAGGGAAGGAGTACACCTCAAATGAATTTCATAAATTTTATGAAGATGAAGGTGTTGAAAGACAACTCACTGTTGGATATACACCTCAGCAAAATGGTGTATCTGAAAGAAAGAACCAAACCGTGATAGAGATGGCGAAGTCTATGCTACTTGAGAAAAGTTTGCCTAAAACCTTTTGGCCCGAGGCCGTTAACACTGCTGTGTATTTGATGAACAGGTGTCCAACAAAGGCCGTGTGGAAAAAGACTCCATTTGAAGCCTGGAGTGGAAGAACACCATCAGTGAACCATCTTAAAATTTTTGGGTGTGTTTGCTATGCTCAAATTCCTAAACAAAAGAGGACAAAGCTAGAAGAAACAAGTGAAAGATGTGTCTTTATTGGCTATAGTTCCATGTCAAAGGGCTATAGACTTTACAACTTGAAGACAAACAAGGTGATCATTAGCCGGGATGTTGTATTTGATGAGAACGCTTCTTGGAATTGGGAAGAAGACAAAACGAAGGAGAAAACAGTCCCTGTAATCATATTACAACAACAAAACCCAGCAGCTGATAATGAGCAACCAGCTCCATGTACACCAAGTTCCTCATCCTCTCCAAGTTCACAAATTTCAAGTTCATCATCTCCCAGCTCAACTCCAATAAAATTGAAGGACTTGAGTGATATTTATGCAAGATGAAACTATTGTGTTGTGGAACCAGAAAATTTTGATGAAGCAATCAAAGAAGATGCTTGGAGGAATGCGATGCAAGAAGAAATAAATGCCATTGAGAAAAACAAAACATGGCAGTTAGTTGAAAAGCCAAATGACAAAGAAGCTATTGGAGTAAAGTGGGTGTACAAATTGAAGCATAATCCAGATGGGTCAATTCAAAGAGCCAAGGCTAGATTGGTAGTAAAAGGCTATGTACAACAGCCTGGAATTGACTATAGTGAAACTTTTGCCCCAATTGCAAGATTGGACACTGTACGAACAATTATTGCATTAGCAGCTCAGAAAGGGTGGAACTTGTACCAACTTGATGTGAAGTCAGCTTTCCTGAATGGAGAATTAAAAGAAGAGGTATATGTGCAGCAATCTCAAGGCTTTGTGACTAAAGGCCAAGAGGAAAAAGTTTACAAGTTGAAGAAAGCTCTCTATGGGTTGAAACAAGCCCCGAGAGCATGGTATAGTGAAATTGACAACTACTTCATTCAACAAGGATTTGAAAGAAGTCAAAGTGAGCATACCTTGTATGTGAAGCATCAAGGTAAAGATGATATCCTTCTTGTTTCCCTTTATGTTGATGATTTGGTGTATACGGGTAACAACAAGAAAATGGTTGAAAATTTTAAAATAGAAATGACGAAAAAATATGAGATGAGTGATCTTGGCTTGCTGCATCATTTTCTTGGTATTGAGGTTTACCAAGATGAATATGGAGTTTTTATTTGTCAAAAGAGATATGCTGAAAATATTTTGAAAAAGTTTGGCATGAATGGCTGCAAACCTGTTGATATTCCTTTATTGGTGAATAAAAAATTAAAGAAGGAAGATGGTGGAAGATTAGTGGATGCAAGTATGTATAGAAGTTTGGTTGGAAGCTTGTTTTATCTTACAACTTCAAGGCCCGATTTAATGTTTGCTGCTAGTTTACTCTCAAGGTTTATGAGTAAACCGAGTCACTTACACCTTGGAGCAGCAAAAAGAGTTCTAAGGTATGTCATGGGAACCATGGAACATGGAATCAGGTTTGAAAAGAATTTTAAACTCGAAGTTAAAGGCTACTGTGACAGTGATTGGACTGGAAGTGTTGATGACATGAAAAGCACTTCCAGTTATGTGTTCAGCCTGGGTTCAAGAGTAATTTCTTGGTGTTCGAAGAAACAAGATACTGTAGCGCAATCTTCAGCTGAAGCAGAATATTTGGCAGCTGGTTTGGCTACACAACAATCATTGTGGTTGAGAAGAATACTTGAAGATATCAGAGAAAAGCAAGAAGAAAGTCTGCTGCTTCACTGTGACAATAAATCAGCAATAGCCATGGCGAAGAATCCAATTTTCCACAGTCGAACAAGACATATTAATATAAAGCACCACTTCATTCGAAGTGTGATCGAAGATGGTGATGTGCAGTTAGTGTTCTGCAATTCACAAGAGCAGCTTGCAGACATTTTTACTAAAGCACTACCAAGAGGAAGATTTCAGCAACTTAGAGAAGCAATGGGAGTTAAAGAGCAACACATTAAGGGGGAGTGTTAAAATTAATGTGTTGTAACCACCACTATCTTTAGGAAGCATTATGAGAGAATTGTAACCATCACATTATAATTGTCTTTATTTA